ACCATGGAGAAGGGCACAATGTCAGGTTGGGCTCCACCCATATGATCAGCGTGGACTGTGTCTTTAACTGTCAAAAATTTACTGACTCAGAAACTGAAAAACTCGCAGAGTTGAGTGCGCATTACTCTCTACATACAGTGTAACTGAAAACAATGTTCCTTAGTTCAGTACCTGCTGTCAGCAGTACACAAAGCCATTTTGCAGCCGAGCGCTCGCAGTTCACGGAATAGTTTCTGCAGATCGCAAACCGGTGCTGTTTGTCCGGGTGAGGCTTCTGGTACGGCTCGTACAACGATCTTATCCGCATCTTCGGCACATATGCCAAATCCCTGCAATACAGAAACTTTGGAACTTTTATTTGAATATTTCTTTATCTGCAGTCGTTTATTCAATCATCAATAAAGGAACGGTCCACGCTGGATAGCTAGATAATTGGGTTCAAGCGACAATCGCTGTGGGTTCATCTCTTGTCCGCCCTTCCCTTTTGCCGTCCTAGTAGTGCCTTCTCAGGCGTGCCAATGATGAAATACAGAAGGGACAGGTAAAAAAATTGCTGTCGCCGCCCACTCAATCACTGTGGAGCGCACTTTTTATCGAAGTCTCTGTTTATTCTCATCAGATCTTGCTTTCGTCTGCTATTCACTTCATTTTCCGTGATGAACGATCATGCCAATGATTACTAACCTGTAGCGTAGCAGAGACATCAGCACGAATTCCAGTGAGTGTCTTCTCTGCCAAAGCTCCCATGGAGACCTGAACAAAATTTTTAGTCATTTTCACTCACTTGATCCATTTTTGTCACCTCTTCTGGAGTAGATTCCAAGAGATATCCTACCACAGAGAATTACTAACGTACTGACTATGCTTTACGCTGTTTTGCATCCTATAGTTGTGAGGGGATAAAAGTGCTGGCTGAATGAGGGACCCACATAACAACCCCGTGACAAAAGGGTAACAATAAAATATATGTGCCATTTCTGATAATTTTTCGACGCCATTCGAAAAAATGGAGTGTCTAAGGGCTATAAGAACTCGCTTTCTCGCTTCTTGCTTCGTAGAATTGAGTCTTTTCTACGGTTAAGGTCTAAGCATAAGTAACAGCTCTTGACCATGAGAGGTTCCTTACGTGGGACACGTTACTTCAGCTGCGTACACCGTTGCGAACTCTATCAGAAGGGTAGCATTCGGCCTCATAAGGGATGGGCAAGGGGGGATGCACTTCACTTTTAGACACTTCTTCACGATTCTGGATTTTCTCGTTGAATGCGCATTGTATACCCTCCTCTCCCCCCCCACGCCCCTGCTTGACAGTAAAGCTTAAGTGTTAAGTAAA